GAAATCTCTGCCACCTTGACTTTACGCATGCCAGAAGCCCAAAGAGACAAAATTAGAAACGCGTAGTGCATCTGTGTTTATTAGCATAAGGTTTTATTATCTTTTCCTAATCAATAAACTTCTCACTATTATCTCTTTGCCTTTTGAGCTAGAGCTCCTGTTATTTGGCATTCCAGCATCCCTTAGCAACCCTTACAGACCCAGAAATAACTACAAAACTTTGAAAGCGCACGGATTATAAGCGCAAACCAAAAAGAACATTCTTAAAAGCTAGCAGAATCTAAAAAGGTTTTTTAAACAAAGCTATAAAATGATTTGATTGCTCATTAAAACAACAAACATCTCAGTTATAAAACAGGAAATGTTTATTTGGGCAGATATTACTTAATATATCTATATCAAATCATCTGGTGCAGAACCTATGAAAAGAATGCTTTTGAAGACGGTGTTTGGAAAACACCCACTTTCTAAAGGTTACCTACATATAAGCCAAAATAGCACTAAGAAATGGTTACAAATTGGTTCACTTCCTAATCTCATATAAGTGATAAAAGGAAAATCTACCCCTAGGTATAAGCCCAAGATAAATGAAAACATATGTCCGCACAAAAACTTGAACATGAAGGTTCAGAGCAACATTATTCGTAATAGCAAAAAGATGGAAACAACTAAAATGTCCATCAATTGATAAATGGATTTTTTTAACGTGGTAAATCCATACAATGGAGTATTATTTCGCCATAAGGAATAGAAGTACTGATAGATACTAAAACATGGATGAACCTTGAAAATATTATGTGGAGTGAAAGAAGCCAGTCACAAAAACCACATATGGTCATATGAAATGTCCAGAATATGGGAATCTATAGCGACACAAAGTACATTAGTGGTTGCTTAGGGCTGGAGCACAGGGGAGACAGAAAGATGGGAGGGTGACAGATAGCTAAAAGGGAATAGAGTTTCTTCTTGAGGTAATGAAAATGTCCCAAAATTGACTGTGGTGATGGTTGAACTTACCTGTGAATATATTAAAAATTATTGAATTACACATTTTAAATGGGTGAGCTGTATGGTGTGTAAATTAAATTTCAATAAAGTGATAAAAATGTTTAAATTTAATATATAAACAAACAAATAAACCCAATTAAAGCATTGTTTTAATAGCACCCTGCCTCTTCTCAGAGGCCTCTAAGCTCTGAAGCACTTAAAAATAGGTTTTAAACTTATATTAGCATTCCACGCTGAGATTGAAAGGAAATATTCTTCACAGTGTGTGAGCCATTTCACACAGTGTTCTGAGAATGAGACTGTTAAAAATGACAGGGAGGCTTCCCTGGTGGCGCAGTGGTTGAGAGTCCGCCTGCCGATGCGGGGGACACGGGTTCGTGCCCCGGTCTGGGAAGATCCCACGTGCCGCGGAGTGGCTGGGCCCGTGAGCCATGGCCGCTGAGCCTGCGTGTCCGGAGCCTGTGCTCCGCAACGGGAGAGGCCACAGCAGTGAGAGGCCCGCGTACCGCAAAAAAAAAAAAAAATGACAGGGGTATGACTGAGGGAGCGTCTACCAGACAGACCCTCCCAGACATAACAACTATAAACTCTGGACAAAACACAAAAAAGCAACGACCCGACAGTACCGGAAAGGAAACAAAAGCAGGCCAAGTCTGGAGGGGAGGGGAGTCCCGGAAGAAGAGAGGGGCAGAGGTGAGTTTCAGGGGTTTGTCCTGCCTTTAGCCCGAGAGCAGGCCAGAGCTGGCACCACGTGGAGCAGGGCGATTAAAACCCCAATAGAAAACCTGCAGACTTCCTGGGCCAAGGCATTTTCTGTCCTCTTCTTGTCACCCTGTGACCTCTGACCATCTCTCTGCCTTTGGCTTCTGTGGAGCCCAGCATTTCCCAGTTCCTTTCCTTCTTCTCCAACAACACTTCTGGTATCTCTTGATGTTTCCTGTTTCCTTGTCTCCCCTAAACACCGGCATCCTCTGTCTCTTCTAATAGTCTTTATTTATTTATTTATTTATTTGTGGTACGCGGGCCTCTCACTGTTGTGGCCTCTCCATTTGCGGAGCACAGGCTCCGGACGCGCAGGCTCAGCGGCCATGGCTCACGGGCCCAGCCGCTCCGCGGCACGTGGGATCTTCCCGGACCGGGACACGAACCCGTGTCCCCCGCATCGGCAGGCGGGCTCTCAACCACTGCGCCACCAGGGAAGCCCATATGTCCCCAGCTTTTAATCAGTGCCCTTTCTCCTAACAGTTCATCTACTCCAGCTGCTTCCACTGAGACTCCCACATTCATAACTGCACTCAGGCTCCCTTCTCAGCTTCCCTTCTGGATAGTTCCAGCTTCAGACTAGTAACAGTGGGGTGGGAGTTAAATTCTAAAGTCAGCACAGAAGCCAGAAATCACACAGACTCACCATTTCCCTTGAAATTCCCTTAGGAAGGTAAGGTGTTGGACTCTTACAGTCCTCCATTTCTTGGCCCGGCTTGCACTGCTGAATTTGCTCACCATAAATGCACTTAAACTATGATTCCACTGTATTTGGTTGTTCCACAAGTATCTCCAACTTAACATGTCCTGACTGAGCTTCCAGCCTGCCCTCCATCTACCTGCATCCCTCTCCTCTGCCTTTACTTCCTACATTAACAGGTGGCACCAAAATCAACCTGGCTGCCCAAGCTAGAAATCGGAGAGTCAACCCTGACCTCTCTTTCTCCCTCATGCCAAAATCCAATCTGTCTTGATTTCCATTGATTTTAGTGCACCAAATGCTTTAATCTAAACCCTTATCATCTTTTACTTAGACAATCGCCAGTAGCCAAACTGTCTCCCTGCCTTCATTTCTTTAATGCCTCCAGTCCCCTATAGTGTATCCAGGTCTTTTGTCTTTTGAAAATGCAAATACAAGCAGATTTCTCCCCACTGGGAAAGATCCTCCAATGGTAAACCACCACCCAGAGCAGTAGAAACAGCTCTTGGGCTTCCCTGGTGGCGCAGTGGTTGAGAGTCCGCCTGCCGATGCGGGGGACACGGGTTCGTGCCCCGG